TCTGGGATTCTTCTTCACCTGAACAGTCTAGATTAGGAGCAAAATGTGGTAATTAATTGATGAACTCTTAAGATTCAATGACATATTGAGAAAATTTTTCAGTAGGCTCATACTAAAAATCCATTTATTTATTTATTTGAGACGGAGTCTCACTCTGTTGCCCAGGCTGTGGTGTCTCACACTGTTGCCCAGTGCAGTGGTGTGATCAAGGCTCACTGCAATCTCTGCCTCCCAGGTTCAAGTGACTCTGCTGCCTCAGCCTCCGGAATAGCTGAGACTACAGGCCTGCGCCACCATGCCCAGCAAATTTTTGTGTTTTTAGTAGAGATAGGGTTTCACTATGTTGGCCAGGCTGGTCTCTAACTCCTGACCTCAAGTGATCTGACTGCCTCAGCCTCTCAAAGTGCTGGGATTACAGGTCTGAGCTACCACGCCTGGCAAAATCCTTTTCTTTATAAAAATAATTTTATTTTTCCCATTCAGAATGACAGCTGCTAATTATACAAGAAGGGTGCAGGGAAGTACTGAAAAGAGAAAGGCATGGTCCCTGACAAAGGCTCCACCCCTGGGGCCTGGGCCCACAGACCTAGGTGAGGACAGGAATTTCTGTTTTTGTGTCCACATGTTGCATTTTCCAAGATCACCCTGGCCTGTCGCACCCCCATCCTGTGCCTGTAGCGGGAAGAAACACAAACAACTGGACGTCAACAGTAGCATATTGCTAGAAGAGCACACCAACAGGCACCAGCACATAGTGGAAGGCCAGCGACCGACGGAAGGATGCAGAGATTGGTCGGGGCTGTCAGAGGACAGCCTGGCTGCTGGGCGGCCCAACCTCAGGGGAAATCCACCTTCCTATTCCATCTCCCTTCTGGCCTCTTCATCCACCTCGCTGAGAGCTACTACCACTCAATAAAAAACCTTGCACTCGTTCTCCAAGCCCATATCTGATCCAATTTTTCTGATACATTAAGGCAAGAACCTGGGATCCAGAAAGCCCTCTGTCCTTGCAATAAGGCAGAGGGTCTGAGCAGATAAACACAAGCCACCTGCAGACAGCAAAGAGGAAAACTCCTCCAATACTGTTAAATTTTTCTAAGTGTCTGTTACCCTGAATATTCTGACTGCTTTTGTCACTTTCTAGTGCCTTCAGGTTTACTTGATTTTCACATTTTGTCCAAGGTTTCTAATGTTGATCTATCCGTGAGGACATGCAGTTTTGTTAGAAAGAGGACAGTGTGTGCATGTGCCTTTATAGTAGCATGATTTATAATCCTTTGGGCACATACCCAGTAATGGGATCGCTGGGTCAAATGTGGCACATATACACCATGGAATACTATGCAGCCATAAAAAAGGATGAGTTCATGTCCTTTTCAGGGACATGGATGAAGCTGGAAACCATCATTCTCAGCAAACTATCACAAGGACAGAAAACCAAACACCGCATGCTCTCACTCATAGGTGGGAATTGAACAAGAGAACACTTGGACACAGGGACCGGCTGAAGCCATGGCAGAAGAACACAAATTGTGAAGATTTCATGGGCATTTATTAGTTCCCCAAATTAATACTTTTATAATTTCTTATGCCTGTCTTTATGGCAATCTCTAAACATAAATTGTAAAGATTTCATGGACACTTATCACTTCCCCAATCAATATCCTTGTGATTTCCTATGCCTGTCTTTACTTTAATCTCTTAATCCGGTCATCTTCTTCGGAAGCTGAGGAGGATGAATGTCGCTTCAGGACCCTGTGATGATTGTGTCAACTGCACAAATTGTTTGTAGAGCATACGCGTTTGAACAATATGAAATCTGGGCATCTTGAGAAAAGAACAGGATAACAGCAATGTTCAGGGGAACAAGGGAGATAACTTTGAACTGGCCGCCAGTGAGCCAGACGGAACAGAGCCATAGTTTTCCTTTTTCAAAAGCAAATAGGAGAAATATCACTGAATTCTTTTTCTCAGCAAGGAACATCCCTGAGAGAGAGAATGTGCCCATAGGGTAGGCCTATGAACGGCTCCCTCAAAGCATGCTGTCTTTTATGGTCGAAGCCATGAAATAATCCTGTAGCACTTCCAGGCTTATTAGGATAAGGAAATTCCCGCCTAATAAATTTTGGTCAGACAGGTTGTCTGCTCTCAAACTCTGTTTCCTGATAAGATGTTATCAACGACAATGCATGCCCAAAACTTCATTAGCAATTTTAACTTCGCCTCATCTGGTGGTCCTGTGATCTCACCCTGCCTCCACTTGCTTTGTGATATTGTATTACCTAGTGAAGTATGTGATCTCTGTGACCCACACTCTATTCGTGCACTCCCTCCCCTTTTGTAAATCGCTAATAAAAACTTGCTGGTTTTACCACTTGGAGAACATCATGGATCCTGCCGACATGTGATGTCTCCCCCAGACACCCAGCTTTAAATTTCTCTCTCTTGTGCTCTTTCCCTTTATTTCTCAAATCAGCTGAGACACTTGGGACATAGAAAAGAACCCACGTTAAACATCGGGAGCGGGTTCTCCTGATACCTCTGCCCAACCCTTATTCCATTCCATCCCTCCAACACAGCCTATAAACATTATTTTACTTTTCTCTCTCTTTTAATCTTAGAGCTGGCTCTTCATCAGGACACCTTCTCTTTAGCCCCTAAGAACTCTCATTCTTTCTGCTTCTTCGTATTTGTCTTCCCACTGGTTTCTGCTTGAGGCCTGCTCCCATTCTTTACTCAGTGTCCTGCAGAACAGTCTTCAAGCAATCCCTGTTTTTTAACAACCCCTTCTTTTCTTTCGCTTCTCCCCAAATTGTACCAAAATTCCAACCAGATATGCCTAATTAATGGCCCAGTATAGATCTGAGGTCTCAGAATAGAAGACGACATAATTGTTACTCAGAGGTTCAGAAGTGATGGGGAAGGAACATCCTAGAACTGATACATAGGCAGAGAGAAAATCCACAGTTGATGTCCATTAGCCTTTTTGAGCACAGGTTGCCTTCTCCAGTCTTTTACTGGGAAGACGGAGTGTAGCTCAGAGCAATTCATAAGCTTCACATTCTTTTCAGCTGAGAGATTCATTACTAGGGCCAGGAACATCTGTTTAAAAAAAAATCCTTCAGTGTGCAGATCTTTTCTGTTGTGTATACAAATTCAGGTCTTTATTGTTGTGTAACTGGGTACTTCATCCTGAGCTGTGGGACTTAGAGAGTCCCAAGGTAATACAATATCACAAGGTAATACAATATCACAAGGTAATACAATATCACAAACAAGTGGAGGCAGGGTGAGATCACAGGACCACCAGATGAGACGAAGTTAAAATTGCTAATGAAGTTTTGGGCATGCATTGTCGTTGATAACATCTTATCAGGAAACAGAGTTTGAGAGCAGACAAGCTGTCTGACCAAAATTTATTAGGCGGGAATTTCCTTATCCTAATAAGCCTGGAGAGTCACTTGTCAACAATTCAAGGTAGTTCAGACTGTTCTCAGTGAGTGAAAGCCTCAATCTTCATAGCATTGGGTGACAGGAAGGCAGAGGTCAAAGGGAAAATTTATAGCATCAACCTCCTCAGTTTCCCTGGATGGTGCTGAGGTAGAGGTGTGCGCACACACATACACAGTTACTGAAAATATTCACCTTGGAATCCCTCCTCTGACTAAAGTTACCATAAAGATAGAGACCTTAAAATTTCTGTGACCAAGCAGGGTCAAGAGCAGAGACTATTTGATGAGGCAGCCCATTAAAACAAAACAAAACACTTCAGCTCAAAACTTGGGAAAGAGTTGGAAATAAAAATGCCAATAGACATAGGGATCCTACCATGCCCTTCACAAACATCTGCTGCAAAAACAATTCTCCTCACTAAACAAGGAGAACAAGTATTTTCTTGTCATTTATGAAAATTACCATGCCCTTTTACCTTAATGAAAAGAGTGAGGCTAACCTGGGCTCACAATTCACTTATCAATACCATTGTTGAGAAATGCCACATGCACTTCTGACTTTATCTGCATCACTGTGCAAAATACATTTTTACAACTTGGCAAACAGGAAAAATTTACAATGAAATTAGAGTACTCAGAAATACTTAAGACTAGGCAGCTATGAAGCTAAAAACAAATATTTTTTTCCCCACTTATAAACACTTATTTTAAAACTTTCTACAAGAAAAATCTGTGATTTTTAATTTAATTATTTCTTAAAGTGAGAGAGATAATTTTGAAAATAAACTTACATATTGTTAAAAATTATTGATTTCAGTCACAGTGAAAGGGAACCAAAAATTAATAGACACCATAATGAGGCTGGGCATAGTGGCTCACACCTGTAATCCTAGCACTCTGGGAGGTAAAGTGGGCAGACCACTTGAGCCCAGGGGTTCGGGACCAGCATGGGAAAGTGTGAAACCTCGTCTCTACTGAACATACAAAAAATTACCAGGGCGTGGTGGTGTGTGCCTGTAGTCCCAGCTACTTGGAAGGCTGAGGTGGGAGGATGAACCCTGGAGATGGAGGTTGCAGTGAGCCGAGATCGTGCCATTGCACTCCAGCTTGGGTGACAGAGACAGACCCTGTCTCCAAACAAACAAACGAACAAAACCCAACACCATAATGGATTACCACTATGTGCTAGAAATGAGTGAAGGTATTTAAAAAACTTTAATTTTCTAAAAACGACATCCGCTAATTTTATTATAATTATTTTTTTACCATTAATAAACTGATTCCCACATAATTCAGTTTGTTTGATAAAGACTAATATGTAGCAACACTAGAATTACAATAAAATACTAAATATATGTGTGTATTATATACAGAAGGCAGAATTGAAGTCATTTTGACAGTGGTATCTGAGATCTACAAAATGAGAATTTAGTAAACCCAATCCTAGTTTCCCTGAAGGCACAACCTGTGCCATGAGACATTCACAGAGTTTATGTTTTTCAGTAATTTGTAGAACAAATACTTATTAGATCAAGACACTTAGATAGATGCTTTATACTTCAGGAATTTATTTTTTCACAATGATCCAAAGTATTAGATGAAGGTTTTTTGTTTTATTTTGCTTTTAATTGACAAATAATAAATGTACATATTTATGTGGTATAGTGTGATGTTTTCACACATGTATACATTGTGTAATAATCAAACCAGGGTAATTAGCATATCCATCACCTCAAATATGTGTCATTTCTTCGTGTTGAGAACTTTCAAAATCCTCTCTTCTAGCTACTTCAAAATATATGCAAAATGTTATTGTTAACTCTAGTCACCCTAGTATGCAATAAAACATTAGGACTTATTTAATGTGAAGTTTTTAATACAAAAATTATTTTAAGAAAATAAGCACAGGTTGGGCGCGGTAGCTCATGCCTATAATCCCAGCACTTTGGCAGGCCGAGGCGGGTGGATCACCTGAGGTCAGGAGTTCTAGATGAGCCTAACCAACACAACATGGGGAAACCCCGTCTCTAGTAAAAATACAAATTTAGCTGGGGGTGGTGGTGGGCGCCTCTAATCCCAGCAACTTGGGAGGCTGAGGTAGGAGAATTGCTTGAATCTGGGAGGCGGAGGTTGCAGTGAGCCAAGATTGCACCATTTCACTCCAGCCTGAGGAACGAGAGCAAAACTCCATCTCAAAAAAAAAAAAAAAGGAAAGAAAAGAAAAGAAGTACAGCCGTTTAAGTATGCTATTCACAGTTATGCTGCTAGTATATGGAGAGACAGGAGTTGAACTCAGATCCTCTAGATACAAAACCTCTACACTTAGAGTATACCATTTATGATATTTTCTCTTTAACTCTTTCACAAATAAGGGCATCAAGGGTAAACTGACACAGTACTAAGGACTCATTCATTGGTGAACAACTATCACACGATGATATAGAAAGGCTGTTGAAAAGCTTTTTTTCATCTTCTTAGTCAGTGTCAGAGGCAACTGGATGATAAATATTTGGCAGAAGTAATACCTAAATAGTGGTCTCATTTTATGAGGTATAGGTCAGTTTTCCTTGGGAGTATGGAAAATGATGAAAACAATTGCTATCAAATGTCAATAAAATATTGGGGAGAATATGGCACAAGATAATTATCACATTTTACTGATGAGTGCAGGACGTTCAAATAGAAAGAATAGAGACAGCAAGGAAAAGATGGTTAAAATGATGCAACTGAGTTCAGGTGTATGAGATGCACATGGACAAGAGGTGCTGTACAGAAGGGGCTGAGTGTGTAAGAAGGTTCAAGAGCTTGGTGAGCACAGAGTCATGGGGACTGTACATTTTCTGGGATTTAAATATGGAAATACAGGCTTAGAAAAAGAACACTGAGAAAACTTATAGATGAGAAATCCATGGTTTGTGATATTGAAGAATGAGACAGTGCAAGCCTCATAGTCTACGAAAACTCCAACACGATCAGGACAAATAATCACAGAGAGGGGCACAATGAAAGGAGCAAAAGGAGTATGTGAGGAACCATCCTGGAAAACACTATATTTATCTCCTTCCTGTAACCCTATAACCCAGTAGCCATATTTAGGTTGATAATTTTCATTTTGTTCAATATTATACGTTGCATCGGGTTGGAAGCCAGCACATACCCCCAGGATCCAAGCACTTTTCTTGGACACATCTACCTCCCAGTAATGTTTCCCTGATGTGATACTTTGGGAGCCCAGGACGCCAGTACAATAATTGAAATTCGTGAGTTTCCCTGATGTGATACTTTGGGAGCCCGGGACGCCAGTACAATAACTGAAATTCGTGAGTGACCCAAATAATGACCCTGGTGACTGATACATTATCTGTGGGTTCCGATAGCTCACTTGTCTCTTATCTTCAGCAATGACAGCATGCGAAATGTTGTTTGGAGCCAGTGTCACATCAACTGTAGAAAAATTAACAGGTCAGTTAGGGGATATAATGTAACTTTATTTGTGATATGAGAGAAATCTTGATAAAGACTTGAGAGAAAACTGGGAGGAAACTTGTTCAGAAGTTATAAGGAGGGGTAAGTTATGTATGTGTTGGAAGGAGAATCATAAATCTTAAAACACGAGACCTAACAAGTTATGTATGTGTTGGAAGGAGAATCATAAATCTTAAAACACGAGACCTAACAGAGAACATAAAATTCTAAAAGATAAAGATAATAATAATGATAAGCCACAGGGTGGCTGATGATAATGTGATTTCTCCTTACCCCAGTAGCGTCGGACATCTGTTAGCTCTGAAATTATAAAAATGCATAATATTGAATACAAGCAAAGGAGTCAGCACTGAAATTCACTTTGTCTCCAGATTTGGAAAAGTATGCCCTATATTAGGGCAGTAAATTACTGAATGATGGGATGAAGCAGCCACCTAGCCATTTCCCATTAAATATAATCCCATCAGCAGCAGACAATATCCATCCTCCCCTATACCCTCTATCCGTATTTGGAAACTGCACCCTCTTCCCCATTTAGCACCCTGACACCACATGAATTCCACAACCCTGTTGTTGATCCAGCTCTCCTCACCTCTAAACATGTCTAGCATTCCTTTCAGATCAGGAGCTCGAAACACTCTCCTTTGATTTTTGTGAAATGTTTTTGGCTTCTTCAAGGTCATGTTCTCAACCCTAAGAGTTAAAAAAGAAAAAAAAAATGCTTCCAAACCTCTGACCTTGTGTCCCTGGAACACCCCTGACTTCCTATCATTTCAGCCCATTGATGCACTGAACTCTCTTCTTGGGGATCCTGAGAAGGGAGAGTGCACCCTCTTGACCCTGGAGGCAAACAAAATATTCTCCTGTTTACCTTCCCACTTACTTTCTGTGAGAACGTGGGAAGAGTTTAACCTCTCAGAAGCACAGTGTCTTCCTTCTAAAATGAAATAATTAACCTCTCCCTGTCTACATTTTTAAACTCATATAACATTAAAAAAAAAAAAAAAAAAAAGGACGATTTTAAAACAAAACAAAATTTTGGTGCCTTACAAAAGAAACCCTAACATTTAATGGGTGGAAACATCATTGTTATGTATGTGAGTTCCCAGGGAGATGGTTAGAAAGGGAGGTTGCAGAACCTGGCGAACCTGGCTCCTGGGTGTCTGAGACATATCAAGAGAGGAGTCCTGTTTGGAGAGGCCTAAGACTTTCAAAGCTATTCCCAGCAGGGAGGTACTCAGATAACAGCTAAGGTTTCAGATTTCTGGGAAACATTACAAACACTTGGCAAATGGGATATTATGTGCACCAAACGTACTAGCCTGAATTTCATGTGGTTAGAAAGAACTTGATACCACCGAGGTATGCGATTTTAGACACAAGAATAGCAGCTTTTTATGCTCTTCTACAGAGTGCAACTGAGATGGATCAATTATTTGTACCATGACCACATATTATCCAGAACATTATTTTGAAATGTTATTCCACAAATAAACATCTGATTTTGGAAATCTAAATATAAATGAAGAAGGAACTGGTCTTTTTCCAGGAGGAAAATATAAACATGTGGGAATTGTCCCAGTGGACAATTAGGGGTATATGGCAGAAAAAGAAGATATGGTCCTTCCAAAATAAGTCAAGTACCTATTAAATACAGAAACAGAACTAGATGTAGGTAATAAAATGGTGATGGCACAGGGGTCTGATACTGCAACACCTTATCCCTGAAACCACTACTGACCCACACTGAGTCTCCACCACTCAAATTTTCTGCCATAGAATCTGGTCTATTCCTTTTTCTTTTCTTTAATTTTCTTTAATTTTATTGATTTTTCTAAGACAGACTCTCACTTTGTCACCCAGACTGGAGTGCAGTGGCACGGTCTTGGCTCACTGCAACCTCTGCCTCCCAGATTCAAGCAATTCTCATGCCTCAGCCTCCCAAATAGCTGGGATTACAGACGTGTGCCATCACACCCCCCTAATTTTTGTATTTTTTTTTTTTTTTTTGATACAGACAGGGTTTTGCCACGTTGGCCAGGCTGGTCTCAAACTCCTGATCTGCCTGCCTCGGCATCCCAAAGTGCTGGGATTATAGGCTTGAGTCACCACACCTGGCCAAATCTGGTCTATTCTTAATAGTTACAGAACATTCAAATGCTGATTTGTGACCAGAAATTTATGATAAAACAATTTCAAAATTTTTCTGCCCTGGGAGATGTTTTATTCTAATTAAACCCAGGACAATTCTAATGGCTATAAACCTCTCCTCACTGCACCAAAGGACCATCTCTGTCCTCCCACACATACCTTTTAATGATGCCATCCACACCCTGGGAAGAAGAGAGAAAACATCAGTTAAGAAATAAATAGTCTCTCCTCACTTAGAAAGCTTCATCATATTTCCCCCAGTCCCTAATGTGCTGAGAATGGAGATGGTGACAGTGTGAAAGACAAAAAAGCACAGATAAGACTCAGGGCAATCATCCCAGAAGACTCATGTGAGGTTTTCAAGTTCCCTTAAAAGCAGAAATAGCTTTCATCCTTGTGGAAGAGGTTTCTGGTTTCTGCAGATGGGACATGTTTAGAAGGGAAAGAAGTGACTGTCAGTTGGTTTTTCTCCAAACATATATGGCTCTCCATGAAATGATTTAAATAATTAGTGCTTCTTTGATTTATTAAACAGATATACAGCCTATGCAACATGGCATGACCCCATCTCTACAAAAAATAAAAAAAAAATTAGCCAAGCATGGTGGCATGAGCCTGTAGTCCCAACTACTTGGGAAGCCGAGCTGGGAGAATTTCTTGAGCCCAGAAGTTTGATTGAGGCTGCATTGAGCTAGGATCACACTACTGCACTCCAGTCTGGGTTGCAGAGTAAGACCCCATTTCTAAACAAAAACAAAATCACAAAAATAAACAACAAAGCTTATATATAAACTTATTCTGCAGGCATTATGTCACGTTTTGAAGAATCAAAGCTGAATGAATAATAGTGCTCAAGATGTTTATGTGGCTTTTGCTGAGGTTATAAGCAAACAAGTGTACAAAACAAGTGTAGATCTTTTTTCTTTTCTTTCTTTTCTTTTCTTTTCTTTTCTTTCCTTCCTTCCTTCCTTCTTTCTTCTTTTTCTTTTTTTTTTTTTTTGAGACGGAGTCTTGCTCTGTCGCCCAAGCTGGAGTGCAGTGGCCGGATCTCGGCTCACTGCAAGCTCCGCCTCCCGGGTTTACGCCATTCTCCTGCTTCAGCCTCCCGAGTAGCTGGGACTACAGGCGCCCACCACCTCGCCCAGCTAGTTTTTTGTATTTTTTAGTAGAGACGGGGTTTCACCGTGTTAGTCAGGATGTTCTCGATCTCCTGACCTCGTGATCCGCCCGTCTCGGCCTCCCAGAGTGCTGGGATTACAGGCTTGAGCCACCGCGCCCGGCCGAAGGAGTCTCACTTTGTTGCCCATGCTGGAGAGCAGTGGCCTGATCTCAGCTCACTGCAACTTCCGCCTCCTGGGTTCAAGCCATTCTCCTGCCTCAGCCTCCCGAGTAACTGTGATTACTGGCGCCCACCACAATGCCTGGCTATTTTTTGTGTTTTTAGTAGAAACGGGGTTTCACCATGTTGGTCAGGCTGGTCTTGAACTCTTGACCTCAAGTGATCCACCTGCCTCGGCCTCCCAAAGTGCTGAGATTACAGGCATGAGCCATGATACCCAGCCTAGGTACCTTTTAAGGTTGCTGTCTTCATTTTAGACATGAACTGTAACTGACTTCATTTACTTCCTTAAGTTTGACACACATATATGCAATTGATTTCTCTACTTTTACCCAGGTTTGTCACTTAAATGCAGTTTAATGTATTCAGTAGTGAAGGAGCAACAAGGATCAACAACTAAGAATTTTTATTATATAACACCAACCATACTGTCTTCTCTCTTATACCACATTGTCCATAATATTACTAATATCTACTCAGTCATTGTCCTAAAAACTACATTTACTCTGAACTCTAGTCTCTACCAGGTCAGTTTGGCGTACGTTCTATTTTTTCTTTTCTTTTCTTTCTTTTTTTTTTTTTTTTTTTGAGACAGGGTTTCACTCTTGTTTCCCAGGCTGGAGTGCAATGGTGCAATCTCGGCTCACCACAACCTCTACCTCCTGGGTTCAAGCGATTCTCCTGCCTCAGCCTCCTGAGTAGCTGGGATTACAGGTGTGCGCCACCAGGCCCGGCTAATTTTTGTATTTTTAGTAGAGACAGGGTTTCTCCATGTTGGATGGGCTGGTGCCGAACTCCCAACCTCAGACAATCCGCCTGCCTCAGCCTCCTAAAGTGCTGGGATTACAGGCGTGAGCCACTGCACCTGGCTAGTCTACATTCTTAATGGTTTTAGGTCATCTACTGCTCTTTATCACAAATATTGTTTTGTTTTAGCAGATATGGACCAATGAAATGTCTTTGGTCTCCTTTATGCCAGACATAACTTTTCCACATAGATTTTTTTTCAAGAACAAAGCCAATAGCTGGATCTACACATACAATCAAATAGTTTTGCTTTTTTGTATTGGTACTTTTATGTTGTATGTAACATAAACCAAATAAAACTGGATTAAATGGTGAAAAGGATTTTGGAAAGGGCAATTACAACTTCAGTCATAGCTGAATTTTGAAACTCAAACCTTGTCATCAAGATCTGGTCTATGGGCCGGGCACAGTGACTCCCACCTGTGATTCCAGAACTTTGGGAGGCTAAGGCGAGCAGATTAGTTGAGGTCAGGAGATCGAGACCAGCCTGACCAATCTGGTGAAATCCTGTCTCTTCAAAAAATATGCATGCCTATATAATCCCAGCTACTCGGGAGGCTGCAGCACAAGAATTGTTTGAACCCAGGGGGTGGAGGTTGCAGTTATCCAAGATCATGCCACTGCACTCCAGCCTGGGCGACAGAGTGAGACTCCATCTGAAAACCAAAAACAAAAATGTGATCAATGTCCTTCTCCAAATTCTACTTATTCCTCTACATTGAGTTTATTCTCTATACATGAAGGAAATGTAACTCTCCTGATACAAACCCCAGCAGAAAGGAGAACTTCTGAGTTTTAACATAAAAAACTTTTAGGCTTGCGTGGCATTTGTCTGTGTTGGATTAGGTGCTCATCTTTTTTTTTTTTTTTGAGACGGAGTCTCACTCTGTCGCCCAGGCTGGAGTGTAGTGGCGCGATCTCAGCTCACTGCAAACTCTGCCTCCTAGGTTCACGCCATTCTCCTGTCTCAGCCTCCCCAGTAGCTGGGACTACAGGCTCCCACCACCACGCCCAGCTAATTTTGTTTTTTTTTTTTTAAGTAGAGACAAAGTTTCACCGTGTTAGCCAGGATGATCTCGATCTCCTGACGTGATCCGCCCGACTCTGCCTCCCAAAGTGCTAAGATTACAGGCATGAGCCACCGTGCCCAGCCCAGATGCCCATCTTAAAAGCACTACTGCATTGTGGCTGGAAACAACAGGAATTACATATATTAACTTAACTAGAAGTAAGTTATATGCAACCCTGGCCATGCTAAAGACACACACATATGGAAAGGATAAGTGAAACAACATATCAGTGAGTAAATTGTAGCAGATTTTAAAACAGCCTTAACTTTGAATTAATTTGGACAATCTCACTAACCCAAGCACAGGTTCATCAGGAGAGGACAGAAGCCTTACTGCCTTGAGGGGATTGAACAAAACTTCTATTCCAGCTAGGATGCCAAACTTAAAAATTATATTTGAGTTTTCTTTAAACACAGCAGAGACAGTAGCAACCATAGGGAAGTAACTAAATGAAGATACAGAAACACTTTTTGCTAGGTAGAGACTAGAGGATGGGAAGTCTCAGAAACTACAAAGTAACAAATATGTACATTTTGACCAGCTGCAGTGGCTCATTCCTGTAATCCCAGGACTTTGGGAGGCTGAGGCAAGTGGATTGAAACCAACCTGGGCAACATGGTGAAATCCCATCTCTACAAAAAATACAAAAATTAGGTGAGCATGGTAGTGTGGAGCTGTGGTCGCAGCTACTCTGGGGACTGAGGTGAGGGGATTGCTTGAGTTCAGGAGGTCAAGGCTATAGTGAGTCAAGATCGCACTACTACATACTAGCATGGGCGACAGAGTGAGACTCTGTCTAAAATATATATATATATATATATTTTTATTTACAAAAGAAATGTATACACATACAAAGAAACAAGATAGAACAAGATAGAATACCACAGCTCAGGGGGATTAAAAAAAAAAAAAAACACACACACACACAAAAAAAAAAACCCCAAAACAATAAATTGAAAATATCCTCAAGTGACCCCAGATGTTGGAACTAGAAGGTAAAGACTTCAAAGCAACTATTGCAAATAGGTTAAAAAACTAAGGAGAACTATGCTGAAAGGATTGAAGTATAAAAACAATGACTCAAAAAAATAGATATGCTCGAGAGAGAGAAATGATAAGGAAATAAAAATTCTGAAAATTTTAAGTAAAATAACAATAATGAAATATTTGCTAAAAGTGCTCCACAGCACACAAAAAGATCGTTGAACCTGAAAAGTTGCATCAATAAAAATTTTCTCATTTAAAGAACAGAGAGAAAAAAGACTTAAAAAATAAAAATAGCCTCAAAGACGTGTCAGATGTCACAATGTAGCGGTGTAGCAATGTACATGTAATAGGTCTTCCAGAAGGAAAGAAGAGAGGAAAAGATTTCTAAAACCTGTTTTAAGACCTATTACATGTATGTTACTACATTTTCAAGTAGAAAAGAATAATTGGGGAAAAATAGTTTAAATTCTATAAAAATTAATATTTCATCTATGTTAATATATTCATCTGTGTTCAATGAACCCCAAGTTAAATAACTAATGAGATCCATATATCATAGAAAAATTTCCAAAGGCTACAATCAAAGCAAAGAAAAAATTAAAGCAGCAAGAGAAAAATTAATCATTATATAAGGAATCCTTTCAATATGGTTAATAGCTGACTTCTCATCTAAATAATAATAGATGACAGAAAAGACTAGATTGACTTATTGAAAGCACTAAAAGAAGCTGTCAACTCCAAACTCCATATAAAGCAAAAATTTTCTTCAAATATGAAGAAAAAATATTCTCAGATGAAGACTGAGAGAATGTGTTACTGGAAGATGGAAGAAAAAATGTTTTTTCCTTTTTTTCCTTTTTTTTTTTTTGAGACGGAGTCTGGCTCTGTTCAGGTTGGAGTGCAGTGGCACCATCTCAACTCACTGTAACCTCTGCCTCCCAGGTTCAAGTGATTCTCCTGCCTCAGTTTCTCAAGTAGG